TTCGGCGGTTTTGTCCGCCGTCGAAGCCCGGGTAGGCCGTGTGGGTTTCCCGTTTGTCCCGCCCCGATCGTGTGACAGCGGCTTTGTCCGTCCGCCCGTCTGACCTTCGGATGGGTAGCACAGTGTGGACACATAATGGACCTGCGCGATCTTCTAAGTCTGGAAGATGTAGGGGGATGCCCTCCCCCTACCCCTTGCGTTTGCCACAAAATTTCGGAGCGGATGACGTGGATCGACCGTTTTCTGCCCGGAAAAGGACTTGGAAATTCGCTCGTCACTTTTCTAGGCGACACTTTTTCGGGCGGTGGGGTCTGGGAAATACTGAAAAAAGGATTTTCATACACTTTTACAGAGGCTGTGGGGTCCGAGAGAACACCCGACGATGAGTTCTTCCAAGATTTTCCCCTGTGGGGTCCAGCTCTAACTCCGGGTTGAATTGTGAGGGTTCCCGGCCTCGTTCTAATTTTTTTTATTTTTTTTTGAATGAATTGAATGCAGAGATTGAGATGAGTTACGAGAGACGGCAAATAAATAATCAGCTAGGGCTTTCACCTTCAGTGGTGATGTTGTTCAGCAGGTTTTCCATCTGAATAACGAATAGAAGGGGGGTTAATGGACAACCCTGGCGTAGTGAGCGAGAGAGCGAAAATTCCTCTGAGAGACGACCGTTAATCATCACTGCGGCAGTAGAGTTAGTGTACAATACTATGACCCATTTACAAAAGTTCTGACCAAATGACATAACATTCAAAGTAGTTAAGACGTACGACCAGTTGACCCAGTCGTACGCCTTTTCCATATCCAGTAAGAGCACAACTATGTCTAACTGGTCATTCTGAATTACCTCTAGGCTTTCAATAACAGTGGCGATGTTGTCAAATTCATTCAGGGAAGATCTATATTTGACAACATCGTCACTGCTATTGAAAGCCTAGAGGTAATTCAGAATGACCAGTTAGACATAGCTGTGCTCTTACTAGATATGGAAAAGGCGTACGACAGGGTCAACTTGTCGTACGTCTTAACTACTTTGAAGGTTATGTCATTTGGTCTGAACTTTTGTAAATGGGTCATAGTATTGTACACTAACTCTACTTCCGCAGTGATGAACAACGACCGTCTCTCGGAGGAATTTTCGCTCTCTCGCTCGCTACGCCAGGGCTGTCCATTAGCCCCCCTTCTATTCGCTATTCATATGGAAAACCTGTTGAACAACATCCGGGCCCATCTCTCCATTGGAGGATTGCCAACAGGCTCGTCACCACTGAAGGTGAAAGCCCTAGCTGATGATTTATTTGCCGTCTCCCGTAACTCATATCAATCTCTGAATGCACTGAAACTTTGCGTAGATGACTATGCCTCTCTCTCTCGGAAGCTGCCATGAATTGGCATAAGTCAATCTTTTTTCTACCTGCCTGCTTCGCTATGACTGTACAGTGGGGAATGAAACGCATTCCTGAGAATAGCTCCGAACAATTCCTGGGGGTTCAGATATCCTTGACATCGGCGGCAACCCATCAAGATGATATTCTGTTGCAAAAGACGAACCAGAGGATCTCCTCGTGGGGCCACGCGCCTCACCTTTCTCTCTTTGGCAGGGCGATGGTGATTAACTGCGCTCTGTTTGCACTATTGTGGTTTGTAGGGAAGGTAAGAGGCTTGGGGCCGCCTCTCTGTGCTACTGTTAGACACATGAGTGCACGCTTGATATGGAAGCCCTATGCAGAGGAAGGGGATTCCTTCATTTCCAAAGTGGCATGGGATATGATCTGTACACCTAGATCCGAGGGGGGCTTGGGTCTGCTTTCTGAATGGGTGATTAAAGCTAGTCAATCCCAAACCTCGAACCACTGGATTAGCCTTGCTGAACAAATCCTCTCGCAGGAATGGAACTTGAAGAGACCTAAAGATGTTTGGATTTGCCTTCTCCTTAGGTCCTTTCTAAATAGGAGGATTAAATCCCCCCTCTGGCAGGCAATCATTAGAGCTTGGAAGAAAATCTGTCCAACGAAGTGGAAAGCCCCAGTCACAAAAGATGAAGTCCTAGCGCAACAACTGTTTGATAATCCCTTGATCATGCAGTCAAACGGCCACCCTATTCCTGTTGATTCGGCACCAGGAAGCTTCAGTCGCTCATGGATTGAAAAAGGAATACTTAAGATTGAGGACCTGTGGAATGAGCTGAGGGGAGATTGAAACAAGATGAGGAGATCAGAACTATCTTGGGGCAAGTTAGACAGATAAAACAGAAGAAAGAATCAATCCTCTCTGCAATCCCGCCGGAATGGAAAGCCCTGCTGTTCTCAGAGACTCTTGACCCCCCGGGTACCTGGTATTCATCCGACTGTGCATCTCTCTCAGTTTGGCGTCTTATTGAACATTTGCCAGATGGCAAACGCAGTTTTCAAGCATATTCAGTCCTACCATCCCAAACACTGATTAGGGATGACGACAATCCACCACCACAGTTGGGTTGCCCCCTCTCACAAGTTCGGGTACTGATAACAGCAGTGGGTGAAACTGAACCTGAATATAGGATATATGGACAGGGTCGCTCTATTCTGCAACTGAAATTAGATCCGTATGCCTGGGAATGGACGATTCAGGGGAGGGGGGGTACCTACCCCAACCTTACAGAATATTCTCTCAAGTTGGGCTACTCAGTTCTAAAACCCTTGAAATGCCCTTTGGTTACAGCCAGGTCGTGTTGGCTGCAGCTGCTAGAGCTAGACCAAGAGATTGATCTTGCCCGGTTAGACTCGGCTCTCCTGTCATGTTGGGAACAACTTAAGCTCATACCGTGTCAAAGACAAGCTTCTATCCTCTAGTTAGAATCTATGGTAGCCACGCCTTCCGCAGTATGGCTAGCTCAAAAGGGCCTGACAGTGGATCTCAAATGCTGCAGATGTAACTGGGCCTTTGAATCCACCGTTCATTTGTGGTGGGACTGTCCTGCATCTGATAAAGTGTGGAAATGGTTCTCTGGTCACTGGAATCGTATTTCAGGCTCCTTCTTTCCATGGAATAAAGAATGGATCTTACTGGGTGGGATTCCAGAAAACTGTGTTAAACATTCAGGTTGGGGCTATGGCGCCCAAGTATGTCGGGCCATTATCTTCACTGTCATCTGGCGATGCCGAAATGACCGGCTCTTCAACAACAACGAATGGACAAACAAGCATCTCAGGAATACCGTTGCCCTGCTGCTGCGTCGCTCTATTCAAGCAGACTGGAGACGCAGAGTATCCTGCTCCAATTCCCCTGCTCAAGGCCTCCGTTGGTTTAGATATACGTGGTCCCTGAATGGTGCTTTGGCAACAATTGACCTTGACTCTAGATTATGCTTGGATGCATGGGTACTGTAATTCGTTGGAGGGGTTCCCCCTCGATTCATGATGTGTAGGTAGGTAGATTGGCATGATTGAGGAATGTCCGTAGCAACCTGGATTGCTCGGTTGCGAAACAGCCACAGTAGGCAGGCAGAGGGACTTTGCTATGTGGAGGGAGCGTCAGATGAAGGAGGGGTCTC